TCGGTTAATAAGATGTTTATTATATGGCAAAGAATAAAACTTTAATTCGTTTAATGTAACTGGTTTGCTGACATTTTGCTTGCGAACGGCGATGAACTTAACTTAAACCTGCCGAAATTTGCTCGTTCTCTTTACTTTTTTTTGTCATCAGGCTTTTTGGCACTTCCATAAATGATTGAGAAGAAAATAAAAGAAAATAGTGAACATTTTTGTATTTTACTGTGCTACTTTTTCAACGCAAAATGAAACCGGTCAAGGTGCCCGTCTAGATGGGAAAATCTAGACCGCGGTCAATATCGATTCCAGCCAATCAAATTCGTAACTTCGGTAGTTCCCAGTCCTTTGAGACACAGCCATATAATAATTATTGATATAGTTAGAATGTTAGTCATTAATTGATCTTTTTTTTATATATATATATTTTTTTCTCGGCATATTAGCATGACTGTATTGCTAGGGGCCTAATCAGCCTCATTAACCCGAGTTGAAATAAAGTTACTTACCTTACTTTAAAACGAGTAAACTCGTACGAATTGCCCCTCCACGTGGATTTTATGTATTTTCGGTCCTGTTTAGATATGGAGACCGAGTAATACGCGTCCTTTAAATCAATAGATGCCATGAAACATCCAGGTTTCATCATCGCAACAGCGGTAAACTACGTTTACGGTACCGATTCAGTGATATTAAATTCAAGATCATGCGATATAAAAACCATCTTTCTTGGGACGAAAAACTACCGGCGAAATAAATTCAACGCTGCTCGTGTTTTGATTGCTGGATCACACCTTTCTCGAGCAGTGAAAGAATCTCAGAATCAATAAAATCTGCTTCCTCTGGAGACCATTTTGGTTGCAATAGAGGCTTAATTTGTACGAGAGTTTGATCAAACTCAATGCTTTGTCCAGTGACGGTTTCCAGAATGTCTGGATCCGAAGTCAGTTTCCGCCATTGATCAACATGGTTGATAATCTGACCAGCCTGAAAATGTTCGGCCCTAAGCCTGTAATACTCCACAAGATATGGTAGCGTTGAGCTATATTTGCATACCTCAAGTTCTGGTATTAGGTCAACAAAGTGTTCTACTTCCTCTGTTGTTGATCGGCACGCTTCGTGCGAGGGTAAAATGGCTTGGGCTTGTGCTGCCGACACTGTGTTGGCGTCGCTCGCGATAAAAAAAAAGTCCTGTTATGTTGTTTAGGCTCATTCTGGCCGAAGCTTTGGCCGTAATAGGTACTCCTTGAATGATTGGAAGTGCTCGTTGTGTTACTTATCTTATTTGTATTTCGAATGTGGTTCAGCTGGGTCTGCAGTTCGTCTCCAAATAGGTGTTCTGTCACAGGCACGTTCGCGGAACAAAGGTCGCCATAATTCTTGTGAAGGTACGGCTTGATGTCCTCACGGTGAAGCTGCGAAAGTTCAAAACTGACATGGCCTAACAAAGCGATAGCGTCCGTAGTCATTACCACGAGCTCGTAAACTTTCCGGCAAAGGTGCTATCAACTTTAGCTTTTAGGTTAAGCAGTAAATCTGTGGGTTTCACAGCGATGTGGCCAACCTTAGTCAGGCTTTTTCTGAAGGCGGGAAAACTTGAGATCTTTCCCTCGTGCTGTCCTTGGAAGCTTGTTCCAAATTTCTTCGTTGACATTTGGGACAACAACTCTGCCACAGTTGGCTGGGCGATGATTTTTCTCGACGTTTGCTTTCAGCTGGTTATCGCTAAGTTTGTGAAGCCAGCTTTTGTTGGCGACGTTTGCAAGCTTTTCCTCTTCTGGGGTTAAGTCGCCGTTCATTTTTTCAAGAGGCCAACTTTCGTCGGCCTCTCTGCTTGCTAACCGAACGCAACTGACTGCTTGCTTGCCACGCTTTATCTCACGTGACTTCGTAGTGACTTTGGCCAATCACGAAGTAGAATTCCCTGTCCCTAGCCAAAAGAGTCTCTTCCAGGCATTGAGCTAATTGGGTGCAACTCCAAAAGCGGCGAGCTTTAAAATGAGAGAGGAGTTTAGCGCATGTAGCTTTCTCTCTTATTTTTTCGCTCGTCTGGAACGTCTGGAAGCGGCTACAGCCGAATTAAAGGTAAAGATTTCCCGCGAAGGTAAAAGATGCTACCACACAAAAACAATGAAATCTGTTATATTTAAGCACGGAGCCTACTTTGCTTAGTCACGCAGATGTTCTAACCATGCAACCATTCACTCTCAGATGGAATTAAGGTTTTGTTTTGAGGAAATTCAAAGACAAACACCGAGATCTGGGCATAACAAAATACAGCTGGTACTTCAATAGCTTCTGCTCTACCCTACAAACTGAAATGAGCTTGGTCAACTTTTTTGCAAGTATTAAAATTAGCCTGACTAAACTCGTTTAAAGTTGATAATTCAAAAGGCTTTTTACCGTCAAACGAGATTAGTGAGGGTAATTTAAATGCACACAAAATAGTTTTAAATTGACGGCCAATTATGAAAAGAGTCTATAGAAATCCGAAAGCTAAATGATTGGAAAATAGGCGTTTTTTAAGTTTTGTTGTAAAGAATAAGCAAATTAGAGGTTTGACTACAATTTTATAGCAGCTCATCAGATTGGCATAACAATACAAAGAAGAAATTATAATAAAGGTCTTTGTTAAGGTAAAAATTCAAAACATCCGTTTGAATTTACACTGAATAATTATGAATTAATACGCGCATAAAATTAAGGGAACTATTTACAAAGGTGAATATTTTTCAACAAATTTTATTTTTTAACTGGTACCATTACTATAGAAAATAAAAATAACCTTCTTCTTTAGAGGAGGAGGCCACACCTTCCTGTTTCACTTTTTTCCGGAATTTTGAAAAAAATATATATATAAACTACTGAACAGTTAATGTTTTATTTAGAATTGTTACTTCTAAGGGTCGAAAATGAATTTGACTCTGAAAAAAAGCCGTTACTTATCGAGCATAGTTATGAGGTGTAATAAACTTCTCGACTTACATGTACTGCCCGGAGTAATTATGTTGCGTTAACACCAGTGCAACAAAATTTACATCAACAGGACAACATTCCTGTTGCGTTTTCCAGGTTACTCATATTTTCTTGAAATAAGCATAGTTAAATGCTCTCTATTTTAACAGGTCTACGTAGTATAATAAACTTATCTGATTTTTTTAACATCGTCTTTTCTTCCTAAGTAATATATAGTGTGTATAGTCATGACTCAAAACTGCCTTTTGTTTTAAATTTCAATTTGAGAAACAAAACGTTCTCAAGAAAAAATAATATATTAAAGTTAAACCATCACTTTAGCAAAAAAAAAAAAATTAAGCAAAAGGTTGCTACTGAATTTGTTCACTCATTGCCGAAAACTTGAAAATGTCACTTGCCTGGAGACAAGCCGCTTTAAAGACCTGACACCTTTACGTGAAAATGTAAACACTAAAACTGTTCCTAAAGTCAAACCATGTCCAAATGGCCCAAGCCAAATGTTCGCTGAGTGTTTACAAATTACAGAAAAAGTCAAGTGTAGTTTGTTCTACATTTCCGCTTGTGACATCCAAAGCCGTGACGGTTATTTCTGTTCCACCAAAATACAAGCTCGCCTCTATTTCTCTGTCACGCCCTCTTTGCGTGTCAGGGGACTGAACCTTCAGGCTTCCAATTTTGGTTAACCCGGGGTCTGTGACAAACTGAGGGTTGGTGGTGAGTGACGTGTAGAATCCAAACTTTATTTCTGTGTCGTTGGCGTACACAGGATGAAACACTTGTCGAATTCTTTGACCAACCTTCACCACTTCATTTTCTTTCACGAAGCAAGAGAATAGATCACGACATTTTTCGATGCCATCCGCCACGAATTTCTTTTCATTTGGGTGAACACCCTCGATGAAGTCTCGAGAGCAGGCACAACCGTATGTCGTGGCGACGACTCTTTCCGTAATTTTGTTGGGCATTTTACCGAACATCACGGCACCCTGAACGACTGCCTTCGCTGCATCACGTGGTACAATCACACGGCACCTGTCAGCAAACTCGTTCTTTATTTCTTGTTGAAGAAGAGAAGATTCTGCAAATCCTCCAACAAGGAGCATTACCTTCACCCTCGAAAGTTCCGGCTTGCTTAGTAGAACAGCTAAATGATCTTTCATGGCTTCCAAAACAGGCTCAAACTGCTTTTTCATGACCCTCGGACTTAGGCATAGATATTCATTTTTAATGATTTTAACTTCTTCTCCGTAACGCTTCATAGAATGGAGAAGAATTTCAGGGACAGAGGAATTGAAACTCTGTGGCAGGCGGATTCTTGTTTCTTTATTTTCCAGAGCCCGTGGCCCACGTTTCTTGTCTTCAAAGTCGCCTATCAAACGCAGCCAATCAGACGGGAACAGTTTGCGATACTCATACAGCTTCTCGGCACTAAAGAGCTCATCCAGAAGTCCTTCGAATTGATGATTTACTTTCATACCGCCATACGGTCCACCTGTTACCTTATGGATTTCCTTAATGCTACCATCATCTTGTTTTTCATGAACTGTTACATCAAGAGTTCCTCCTAGTAGCACCAAAATTGTACAATGTTAATGTGTGAATTTAAAAAATAAAAGATGTGTCATGACCGCTTTTTTGCTATATTGATTGTGACCAACTTCATGCCACCATAAAATAACTTAGGTAAAACGACATCTAGTATATCTTTCAAATTAAATATAATATATTTTGCAAATTAAATTTTATATCACCTACAAATAACTCCTCTTATTAGGCGGAGAAGATCGCAAAACTTTACTTGTTTTTGTCCCTTGTTTATGATTAAAAATACCCATAAAATATTCTTTAAAACTCTCTAGGAGCACACTACGCTTCCTTTTAAACACGCAAGATTACACATTAATACAATAACATCCCCCTCACCACACCCACATCCGCTCTCAATAAATATTACTATAATAATAGAGATACCACAAAAATATAAACAAAACGCGGTGTGCGGTAAATAAACTAAAAATGCAGAAAAAAACACCAAGCGAAAGCAATCAGGCATAGAATAGACACCGACTTACGGTTTTGAACAAAACCCCTTTCAATTAAGATTCATTTTGAAGAACGCTGTTTGTTGAGTTGTTTCCGTATTATTGTACTAGTGTTTATTAATCTTGGTCACCAGTTTGACTAACAGGGAATTTGCACTCAATCGTTTGAAATTTTCATAATCTGTAAGTTTCAACCTCTTTACATTTATCGGTTATTAATATAATTACCTCCAATGTCGACAACCATGTATTGTGCATTCAACTGGGACAGAAGTCCATCCACGGATACACTGAGTCTCTCAAGAGACTGTATTGCGCCCATTTTTCTCTCTGTACAGAATATCGCGGCTGCTTCAGGTTCCAAAGCAATTACCAACTGCCCCGGTCTGTCACGTGACACAAAACCAGCCTGTTAAATCAAAGGGCATCAGTAAGACTGTATAAATTGAGATTACACTCCTAGGAATTATGGCAGAAAATAATGCTGGAGAGAATACGAGATCCGTAATTCATCTCTCTAGCATTAGCCATTTCCACATCCCCCATGATACACCTTGTTTACCCACCCACCCACCCCGAAAAAAAAATTCTGCATAACCTTTGTTTCCTATTTCTCCTGAGTATTACAGTCGTCCCAAGAGAAACTGAAGACAATGCTCATGAAAAATTGGGGGGGACAAACAAGGTGTATTATGAGGGATGTGGAAATGGTGAATAGCATATTAGTGTCACGAGATTGATGAGAAACCCAAAATGGCGACAAACTTCTCTTATGGAGCTAAACTTTCACAGTTTTCGGCAATATAAATGACCATACTTAATGGATTTCCGAGATATTTTGATCACCATGTTCCTTCACTACAGTTTTAACACAGCTATAGGTCCTTTGCATAAATGGCGAAATCCTCAGCCTCGTACTCATGTTTTCAGACGAAGGATTTTCCACATGAATGTGAAGCTTAGGATGTACAAAGTATTGTTATTAAACTTTAGGCGTCATTTATGCGTCATTTAGGTGTCATTCTATAAATCTGCGGTTGTAAATTGAACTCTGGCAATTTTCTGACCTTATGGGTAAGTACGACATCCAAGATATGGCCCTAGAGTTTTTTTTTTTTTTTTTTTCTATCTCTTGTTTTAGGAATTGTCAACACTTTTAGAACGAGCATTGTCAGAACCATTCCACACAGATGAATTTTTCATTAGCAAGTTTGCAAAAAAAAGAGGGTTGTTACTCTCGAGAATCCACGGTAAAATTGCCACTCCCAATTCTCATCCTGTAAGGACTTCAAAAACTTCAAGACAGGTTTAACTGATCAAAGCAAATCAATTTCAAATTAATTGTTTCCACGTTCGGGCTCATCACCAACTAATCTATTAACCCACGAACTCTATGTTTTTCATTTAACATAGACAGAACATAGACACTACGTAAAACGGAAAGAAAAGGCAGATAGGTTATGCGTATTGTTCGCCATAAGTTTAATGACGATAGTAAAGATGATATTGGAGGCCAAAAGTAATGAAGAAAACAAAGGGGTCTGAGCCGAGCGGCCCGGACCGTGCCCTTTATAGGTCACTGTGAACTGTGTTCTTGGGCAAAACTTCTTATACTCTCATAAGGCCACTCAGAAGGTCTAATGGCAATCTGACAAAATGCCTTGGAACTCAGGATGGACTGGCATTCTGTTCTGTCCAAGGCGAGCCCATATACCAATACTTCATTCATTTCATGCTACAGAAACCAGCTCCCGGCACAGGTCAGTGAGTTTACTCCCCCTATTCATTTCAAGTTCAGTGGAACACATTTGCGCCTCAATTGAACAACACATGACTTGTACAAATAGTGCTGCTACTTTACTTCGTAAGCTGCTTCTCTCATGAATTGCTTTGCTCCTGGAGTCCATATGGCGGGAACAGTTAAAACCCACTGGATATCATCCGCTTTAAATCCATCATCTCTCGTTTCGAGGCGAATGAAATTAACTGCCTCGTCCATTAGAAACCTGATGGAGTGTGCAAACACTGTCTTGGCCTCAGCACGTTTTCCATTGACGTCATAAAGGACGGCTCTCAAGTCTATGTTCTTTTGTCGTTAATGAAATAAAAAGTATTATAGTTAGTTATGTGCTATAACGTGAAGTTGCCGTCTATGTATTCGTTTCTAGATCAGCCTTGCCATGGCACATAGGATTTAAAGGAATAACGTCGATGAATACTCAAAACGTAAAGGTGATAAATATTAGATTTTCCATATATACAAATGTTCAATAACTCAGTGAAATGACACTTCAGCAATGACACCAAACAATTAGCATAATTTATATACAAATTCTTTGCATAAATTTCTACAGCCTAGCCATTTAAGACATATTGTCATCTCCAGTGATATTAAATAAGTCGTCTTACCTCTTCGTTATGCAATGACATCTTGAAATGCTGGAAAAACAAGAACTCTTTCTCTTCATAAACGCTCCTCAGATTTGCATACTTCTCTACCGCTTTGTATCCAAACGAGTCGAATGACTGGTCTGGTTTAAGTAGCAGGCATGTGGGTGTCTTGCTTGTTCGATGGCCTTGTTCATTCACCCAGTCTCTGTTCATAAAAATCGAGTCATCACCTTGCTCCTTGTTGAATGAGAACGCAAATCCACTATACGTTGTCCCGAAGTCGATGCCCACGGTTGCCAGGTAAGACTTTTCAAAATGGACACCTAAAGTTTGCACAAAAGAAACAGTTGAAAATAATCACGTCTTCACGAGTGGTCTATTGTTTACCTTAAAACTTTGCATTGGGAGATCATTTCTTTATAAATCAAGCAGTGCAAAACAAGAATATATCGCACAAGAAAACGATCCTGTCAACTTGCAATTATTTGAGGCGTTTTACGTTCGAAAGTGCAAGCCCGAACTTAATTCCCGTTAAGAATGCACTGAACTCAAAGACCTTCCATTTTGACCAGCTTAATTTTGAACTGCTTTATCACTTGTACTTATTAGCGTTTGTCCACGTTATTGTATATGCCCGGAATTAATTCCCGGTAGAATGCGAGTCAGAGTACTTTTATCTTGAACTGCTTTATCACCTATCACTCATTAGCGATTGTCCACATTATCATATCTGCCATTACCACAATTACACTCCTTGCCCTTACTACATATTCAAATCATTCACGTCACCTACACCAAGTTTATTTCACGCACTATTGAATATTTTCTTTCATTCCCTGATGATGCCGTTGAAAAGCGAAACCTCCGAATAAAAAATACAGTAGCTCAAGGCCTCAGTGGAACCAATATATCTATCTATAGAATGGGTTGTATTTCGTTTAAATTTTTTCAAGGAGTGTTTCCAATAGTGACTATTTTGTAGAGATTTCTAAAGTTTTAGTACAGTGTAACTGTACTGTTTGTATATTTTTGTGTGTGGTTGTGTTATTGTTTTTGTTGTTCTTCTTCTCTGAGGGGAGGAGGTGGTAGCAAGAGGTCATGAGTTTGGTTTATCAATTTCATTAATAACGAAGTATTTAGACCGATAACATCAGCTGTAATGTCGACTTGAAACTCATTCATTTTGAAGAAACCATGTTGATCTATTTATTACTTCACATTAGTGCTATTCAAGTGCTTTCTGTCAAGTTATATCAAAACCATATCTTCTTTCTCGGGATAGCTTTGTTTCTCAGTCAGGATTGAGCCCATAGATTTGAGCTAAAAGATAGCAGAGCGTAATTTTACGCAGGAGCTGCAAAAGATCAATATTTGTATGGATCAGCTCTACCTTGTTTGCTGAGATGATTTCTCATAAGGTGACAGTAATCTCCGGTAGAAGCATTTTAACCCATGTTTTTGAGTACCGTCTATTTTCTTGGCACCTCATGAAACTAGTTAATGCAATTAACTTCAAACTGCAGCACCGTGGTAAAAACAGCTTTCTTACAGAATCGACAAATAACCAAGTTGATTTTATTGATTCTATGACTAGTGGGGTATGATTGCTCTAGTGTTACAAAAATATCTACCATTGGTTCACCAAGACAAATTTCGATCTACAAATAATATTCCACTGAGTAATTAAACAAAAGTAAACAGGGTATGTTTATTTTGCAAAACAACGAAGTAACGTGCAAGGAAAAGTTGGGTTAGAGACTGGGACTAGCAAAAATGTTGATAATTTAGTAAAAGTATAATTTAAAGAAATAATAATTTGTTCTTTACTGTCTATCTTTTTAAGCTTAACATGAAACATAATTATGTTGGGTAGCTGAAATGGCTCCTTCACATAATTAATTTACTACGAGCACTAATACCGTCATTCTTATCAGGATGGAAATGATAATATATAGTCCTTTTATCTACACGTACGGTAAACAAAATTAGTTAGCTTTTCCTGGATATATCGAATTGTAATTAGCATGATAAGGGGGTAAACACTTGAGAAAGTTTAAAACACTTATGTGGAGGGGGTTCAGATCCACCTTAAATTGTCGAAAACTTGAGATGGGTCTGAACCCAACAGTCGAAATTAGTAAATCAGGAATATTTATTTGCCTGGGGTGGTATTACTTTTTTAGAAAATATCGGNTTATGGTTCGAGACGTGATCCATTGTTCTCGTTTCTTCCAAAACTGGCATACCACCGGACTGCTTATGTGGAGGGGGTTCAGATCCACCTTAAATTGTCGAAAGCTTGTGATTGGTCTGACTACCCTCTTTCCCTGCGGAATTTTTGAAACTTTTCAAGAAGTTTTATCCTAACATGCTTATCATAATTCGATTATAAAATATGGGGTCCGTTGGATTACTCTTGGGGTTATAACTAGTTATAATGTTTCTATAGTAATTTATTATGCTATGGAAGTTGTTTACTTCTGGGTATTTGTGTGTTACCAATATTAATGTTACTTGATATTGAGTGGTGGAAATGATCCGTTAAAGTAGAACAGCTGCCACCTGCTGGAAACTGTTGCCAGTCAGATAAAGGCAGGATGCAATGAAATAACAGTCGAAATTAGTAAATCAGGAATATTTATTTGCCTGGGGTGGTATTACTTTTTTAGAAAATATCGGACAAAATAGTTAATGACTCCCACAATAACATTTTTTTTATTATTACCTTTCCAGTAATTAACAGAGTCAGGATGTAAAGGTCGCAAAGTAAAGTTGCGTTGAAACCTAAATTCCTGTTTATCTCGGCCAGCTCTTGACGCTATAGAGTCAGTTTTTCCTAATAGCTAATCGTAATATACGCGCCCCTCTTCTCGAACGATTGCATGTTTCATTTAAAGATAAAAGTCACAAAGTCTTGTCCCGGGTGATTGTAAATTCCTGATTCAAAGGCGCACACTGACGCGAACGATGACACATCTGTCACATTGCAACCGCTCTATTGCAAGGATGACGCTACGGGTGTCGCACTCAGTTCGATTTGTCGACATTTTGAGTGCCATAACTAAAGTATTAAATTCTATCTTCGAAATTCTATCTGCATCAAAATTTATATGAATATGTGGTTATTATCCCAGTAACACTTTTGGAAGATAATAAACCACCATGATGTAGATATTATTCTTCAAATAGGTCGAAAAGGTTACCCTATTCCCAGCTTGTTTGCGCTTAAACAAAGAAGCACACGCGAAGCATCTCCAAAACTGAGCCGCGGTTTTTAGTTCGGCATATTTAATGCTTTTGTGGTGTTCGGCAAATAAGTAAATGGATGCTGATCTCGGTGTCACACCGGCGAACGAGCGCTTTAAATTCATGTTTGTTCAAGATTTTCATGGAACAAATCACAATTACATGATTAGCTCGTGGATCAACAGGCGCGGAAACATGAGCCGTTCCAAACACGCCATTGATATATAAAATAGAGCCAACAGTGAATTTTATATTCATCCTTTCAATTGGAAACGATTTTAATCTTTTCTTAGTTCTAGGGAAGTCAAAACAGTTCAATGTCAGTGCTTGATTTACTCGGATTTTCCTAAATACAGATGCGACTACGTGGTGTTCACGTTTGAAGAATACTATTTAAAAAAAAGGCTACACTGAGTGTTACCTGCTGATGAAGAAGCCATGCCTCGCCGGGGTCTATATCCTGCAACCAAGACGATGCAGCTGGACAACAACAAGATTCTCCGAGCAAATGATCATAAATTTGAGACGAACACGGGTAATTTCCCCCCGGGATATTTCCCGGAATCCTCGTCTGGACAATAAACAAAGTTACGTATAAACATGTCCGCCGCTATTCTTAGAAATGATTCAGAAACAACTTCAGCATTGTTTTTAACTGGAAAGATGCAAGATAAATTGCTTAGGATTACATTCATTTATCTGGCTTTTATTTGCATGAGCATTCAAATTTCTGCCCGATTGTAATGAGGAAAATGAGTCTAAACAGCTGTAATACATGCCCTATTTCAGATCGAAATGGTCAAAAATCAATATCCAATCAAAACGGCTTATTATTTAGGAGGGAGAACCACCTTCACGAGGTGATCACGACATCATTATCCGTGTTCATATTATTAACAATGAACAAGGAGCGATGTTGACAACAAGATTTTGTGACAAGGCAGTAGCTCTTCACGAAATGTACCCTTAGTAGCCGAAATAAAATGATATTGCGATCAAATACCGACGTTTATTACAGTGATTGACGAAGGAGTCGAGGTGGATTCCCTCAATGTTTGTTCTTTGATCTTCACGATCACATAACTGCAATGCCTTATATTGTCACGCCACCCAGATCAATATGAGGAATTATTAAATTGTGAATCTGGCCTTAGGATTGCACTCAGCCCACATCACAAATACCCGTTTGTTCTCAGAAAAATGTTCTTCGTAAAAACGAAAGACCGAACAGCATCTAGACTTAGAGAAAACTTATTTTTGCCAATTCAAAGGTCGCAACTTCCTGTTTGAAATTTCCGAGAAATAACATAATCGCGTGATGGAACCTCCGAGTATTTTTTTTGTCATAAATTTATTTTATTATACTTTTGAATGGAATGTACCAAATACATCATTAGTGTTACCTATGTGTTTCAAATGGATGATTAGTGTTACCCATGCGTGTCGACTCCATGTCCTTAATGAACCAACTTCCGGCCTTGCTTCTAGGAAAAGAAACATCCGGGAAGTTCACAAGTTTCCTGTAACCACATTGTGTTTGTGAAAATTCGGTTCGGCCATGGCATATTATCGAAGATCACCAGTGTCGAACTCCATTCAGCCTTGTGGAAACGTTTCCTTTAAAGGTTCGAGCTCGTCTGCCAGTGTAAATAACAATGAATGGTCTACAGAGGACCTCATAAAAGCATCGAGACAACTTCCCGTACGTCTTGAGAAATTACAGCAAGAAAACAAAGAACTTAAGCAGGAGCTTCAAAGGTATATGTCAGTCTCATTTATTCAGTCCTTGCATGTTGGATGCTTAACTCAGTGTTAACTGTTTTTAATTGGAAATCTGCGTCCGTAAACGAAACGCCATGAAGCACTTGATCCGGTGAGAAAGATGACATGCAAAATCTGAATTGGACCAAGCATATAATAATATCCATGTTCGGGCGACCGATTTTATCTATAGTTCTAGAATTCCCGATGTGCCTCGCTATGTAAAGTGCGTTCCTTGTAAGAAACAGCAATTGGCACTGATCTCCAATTGGTGTTGTTTTAAAAGCAAAGCAACGGAAGAGCCACTCGTAAATTTACTATAATCCTCTGGTCAGCTATGCTTGCGTGACAAACTTAAATATTCGATAAGTGAAAGCGATCTCTTTGAACTGAATTTAATAAATCGTTCGCAGGCAGCCGGGAAGTGTTTTGAAAAAAAAAAAAATAGACATCTGGCAGTCTGCAATTCTTGTAGCCGGAATTTCCACGTAATATCTCATTTAATTCTTTTTAGAATAGTACTGAGATCTTTGTTTAGGAATGTCGAGCGATTTCAGGTATTATTACTGTATTCGAGAAATTTTCGAGCTTGGGTATCCCATAAAATCTTGATGTTTTTGACAGTCCTGATATTGGATATTCCTGCTCTGACTAACGGATTCAGCTTGAGATCACAGAATAATATTAATAAAAATTACAACTGAAAACCTCTGAAAATATTCAATATATATTCAAAACACCGAGCGATTTTAAACAGTATTTCAAATTTTAAATGAGATAATTCGTGTAAATTCTATAAGAATTTTAGGCTGCCATGTATGTAGTTTTTCCAAAATACTTTCCGGCTGCCTGGTATGTAGAGACATATTAGTAAATCCTATCTCCTAATAGGTTACGTGAGAGTAAGGACAGTTACAGTCATGAGAAGGGACAACTCTTGGCGGAAAATCAAAGCCTAAGACAAAGGTATGCATCATAACGGTCTTTTGCACTATTTATTACAAATTAAGATAGAAACTGCAGTTACTCGAGTTTCACGCTTAAAGCGATCATCAGACTGAGAAAGTCTGATGATAAGTTGTAATTTGTATTTCGCTTTACACGTATTTGTATCGAGCACTCCTACGATTGTGTGAAACCACTTCTATTTTCCTTTCTTTTTTCCTTGTTTATACCCATATTTAAATTAGAGAGGCCCCCGTAGGGGTTTTTGGGATACGGGATATTTGGGTAAAAAAAACTACGGGAGACAGGATATTTGAGGGAAAAACTAATGGTATGTGGAATAATAAGACCAGATAAAACAGGAAATAAAGTAAAAAAA